GAACTTGTCTGACGCCCCAATTAAAAGTACACTGAATCAGCATGGGCCACTGTGCTAGTAAATCTGTGGTAAAACTCCCAGCTTCTCCTCCCTGTCTGATCCTGAAATCAAAACAGTTTAAAATGGACATTTCTGATAAACACAGATCAGAGTTCCAATCCTAAGGTTTCGTATGCTCTCCAGGACATTCAGGACCTCATACTATTGGTCTGTTTCAGTGAGTTTCTCTGAGTAGAAATCAGTCATCAGTTCATCTAAGAATGTAGAGGAAAAGAAGTATTTTGAGCAGTGGCAATTGAACAGGCTGCACTAAATACATGGACTGGCATTTGAAAGCATGCAAACAAGCTATTCTAAAGACACGTTTCTCTGACAGCAACAAACAAACAAAAAAGGGACTTTTCTAAGTAGCAATAAATTCTTTTCTTGTATCATTTTTTCTGTTAAAAAGTGGCAGGAGCTTTTTCATTACTATCCTATTTAGGTAAGCTGGATATCTACTGGCAGCCAGAAACAACTACAAAAAAAGAATGAGACCTAAAACCAAGATTCAAAACAATGCCTGACCTTTCTGGCAATTTTCTTCCATTTACTGCATGTGTGTTAATCATTTACCGGTACACCAGCTTATACTTTCTGGTCTGCACAATGGTTCGCTCCAGCAGGAAACACAAACTATCCTTTCTCAAAAGAGTACCAGGGCGGAAGGAGAGAACTGCACTCTCATCTCTGGATCTAAACAAAAAAAAGGTTGTTGTAACATTACACAGAATCCATGAGGTATTTTAGCACAGGATGACAAGCCACAGGAAACTAAACAAGAAGTGATACCTACCAAACAGAACCTGGCCAGATTCACCCTCCGCTGATGGGAGGGATGATGGCAACCTCGTCTCCAGGCTGCAGGACCAGAAGCTGATCTCCAAGAAGCACGTACTCCTGCCGAACAGCAAAAACAACTTGATCCTGGATGACAGCAAGCCTGAGGGGAATTGGCAGGAGTACAATTAAGTTTCTAAATAGTGTCTGCATTTAACCATGAGATTTCATTAAACAACAAACTAGTGCACATTCTAGGGCAGCTGAGGTAAATAATACTGAGACTTGCACAGCTCTGCTTCCAATATACTTTAAAAAATACAACACACATCTCCTACTCCCAGAATTTCTTGCATTGGCTAAGTAGAAACCAGCACAACATAATTTTCAGAAGTCAGGAACTGAATTTTTATAGGCCTACATCAGAATGAACCAAGGTATACCAGACCCACTTCAGCAGCTTCTAATAAATAAGTAGGTAATCCAAGAGGTAGCAACCATTTTGAAGAAGGAAATGTTCCCCTGATACAGTGTGGCTGGACTGGAGCCAGGTCTGAAATTTGCTATTGATAAGAATGGCAACAGAAGTAAGATGGCAGAGATGATTTTTTTTTCTGGTAAGTCTTTTTTTTATTTCATACCTGTGAGATTTTGCTGTTAAAGAGTCCATAGCTCTGGATGCCCTGAGGGAGTCACTTTCACAACCAAGTGCAACCACACAGTGAGTATGAGGACAACACCAGTAAGACACCAGAAGAAGATTGCCAACATTTTATTTTAGAAGGTGCAGGCATGACAACTGTTACTTTTGGAGACTACAAAATATGGCACAGACAGCAGAGAGTTGTACTCACTAGAAATAATTAGGCACGCCAAACGGGTACAATTAAAAATCATCTTATTTCCTACTAGCCAGAAAGACAAGAGTAGGGAAGGCACAGGCTGAGCAAAACACAGTAGCACTGACTCAGAGGACAGAATGAAGGGAGGGACTGTACGAAAGTAAAGCAAGCCACTGAAGAACTGAGAATAACTATAGAAATGAAGTGGCCATTGGAAGGATGGGCTCTAATTAATGTCACTTGCAAGTTAATTCATTGGGGAAAATGGGTGGAACAGAAGAGCACTGTCAACTACAGTCAAGCTGCAATTTGAATATCCATTAGCAATGTGAATAGAAGCCTGTGGTCAATGCCCTACAATTATATTGAGTTCTTCCAAAAGGGTTAGGAGCAGAAGCATTTTTCAAGGCCACTGTGAAGTAACAAAACGTACTGCCCCAAGTCATCACTCACAAAAGAACAAAGTTGACAAGCTATGGCAAACAGACCAAAGGTGCTGCTGCTGCTTCTGACACTGAGTAACAGGTTCCAAAGTAAAATACACTATCTACTGCGTCCCCCCCTTTATTCTTATTCTGCGTCCCTTATTCTCAACTCTCTGGGAGGAAAAGACCTTGGTCCAAAGTTTTATGCCTTCTCTTTTGAAACAGAGGTCATTGCTAAATAGTTAATGTTTTTCACAGCCTTCGAGAGATCTAATAAAGAAGGCTCATGCTTAAAGGAAGACTTTGGCACCCAGGTCCAAAATAATGAAAATTCCAGTGCATTCAGTGCTAAATTCTCAGGACCTTTTTTTAATCCTCCCTCTAAAATGGTATTGCCTCCTTTTCTATCAGACTCATTCTTGACATGACTGAGCACTTTCCCTCAGCCTTGAGGGGGATTTCTGTTGATACCCCCAAAGAACACCAGCACACACCTAGCACTCTCTCTGGACCAGACTCCCCAGGTCAGGAAATGCAATGAACAGTGGGGTGTGTTTTTAAAAGCAAGAGGAGGTTTAAAGTATCACAGTCTGTTTCCTGTGTAAGGGCTGAATGGCTGGAAGCTGTGGCAGTACTTCAGTTCCTGTCCTGACCTGCCTTCCAGAGTCTGCCATAAGCTTGGACCAATGACTAACAGTACAGTTAAAGATAAATCATTGAAAACACCTGCACATTATCATGAATTTCTTATTTATTGCCCTGGTTGTGCTTGATCCCTCCATCTCAGCTTCTCCACAGCACAGTAGCCCCCCTGGACACTGAGGCACATGCCTCAAAGTACCCCTCAGGCTCAACTTCTGGGTACATTTATTGCACCTCGTCTTTCTTAGCATACGCACACAGCAGCAGCATTTCCAACCGGACAGAACACAAAATGCTTGCTGCAGGTTACACGAACATGGTAAGGTCACGGGTTTTATGGTATCAAAGTACAAACGCATGTTCCAGCTCCACCCCAAGAGCTGAACTTGTATTTACCAAAAAAACCAAACAAACAAAACAAAACACCCCACCCACATTAAGCACTGTGCACCTCAGCAGTAAGGTTCCCGAATACCTGGGGTGCACTTTGACGATCTCCTCCCAGAGCTGCAGAGAGGTGACCTGCCGGGGCACCCAGAGGCTCTCGCAGCGCAGCCCCGCCAGCTCCGCGCTCCTGGCGAAGTACAGCACCGAGACCTGCGCGGGGAACAAGCGCCCAGCGGGGTTACGGGGCCTACTGAGAAAACACACAAGCTGCTGCACATTAACATACCCGAAAAACAGCTAAACGAAAGACCGAAACCAAACCAGCGCGAGGAAAAGCTTTCCCTGGCTTTTTAAAATGCTGGTGAGCTCTGCCGCCTTCCTCCTGCCCCGTCGGTCAAGAGGAGAGCAGGGAGAAGGGCGGAGGGGAAACAGCGCGGCCCCGGGTCCCGCAGCCCAGGCCTCGCCCGCCCGGCACCTCTGCCCG